TGGTCAATGACATGAGACCAAAGTATATGTGAACTGCTGTATGAAAAGTGAATTTACTCTGTAAATCTTCACCCAAATCAAAATAAAATTAAAAAAAAAAAAAGAAAGAAACTGGTTTTAGAAATAATCGAGACCTCATAATTGCATCTAACTTTTCAGAAACTAAAAGCGCAGAAAGGAAATTTTCAGTCTACTTCAGAAGAAAGAATTTTACAATCTCTTGAGAAAGATGGTATTTTTCACTCTTTAAAGATTCTTTATTCAGCCACAGTTATTTGAAAGAAATTCATATTAAATTATTAGAACTAATTTTTATATAGTTGGATGGCATATTGTCCTGAAACCATAAAAATGATGTATTTTGAAAGCCACCCCATTTGGGGGTTTTTTAGTTATACAGGAAAAAATGGTTTAAAACTTGCCAAATGTTTTATGGAGCCAAGCACATCCTCTTTGAATACATTTACCTAAGCTATCTTTGCTAGCCTGTATTAAAGGACTTTGTACTTGACTTTGAAGAAGGTGTAATTATTGTTACTTTTATCCTTTCCTGATTTAGTAAAATAAGTAGCCAACACAGAAAATCAAATGTACAGTTTATTGTAAAATATTAATCTTTTGTTTTCCCCACATAAATTACAGATAAAGACGACCTTTCTTCAAATTGCCCAGGACCAACTTCTGCAGATCATGACTAAAAATATTTCCAATAAAGTGGAACCTGTAAAAATGTTCATGTTTCCTGAACAGTTATTAGAATTCCCAAATGTTTTATGCCAGTAAACAAAGAGGGCCTTCATAAAAGGTTTTATACATTTTTGTACGTTAGAAGGATGTAATTGTTCACTGGCTTGAGAAAATATGGGATGGTATTTTAGACCACAAGTATCACTGACATGGCCAATTACATGTAATTGTACTGTAATGCTTCTGGGATTTAAAGACACCAATAAGTAACCCTGTTCTTCCCCTCTTCATTTTGGAATAAATTGAATAATAAGACATGAGAGTCAGAGGGAGATCCATAAATCAGCTTTGTTAGCGATGAAGCTAAAATAGAGGTTGACTTGTTCTCCAGTCAAGCTCCCTAATATTTCTTACTGATTGGAGAGAGTGGCAGGCCTCTTCCTTGCAGGAGCAGAGCCCACCTTTGCATTCTGAGACCTGTTAGCTCTCAAGGTTAGAGAATCCACCAAGGCTGACCCACACATGCTCAGTTCCTTTTCATAGTATCTCCAATAAGATGAGATACTTCTCTATTGGGAAGAAATGAATGAGGGTTCAGAGAGCTTGTTATACTTTTCTCTCCCAGTGAGAGGTTCTCTTCCTTTGATGTACTCATGAGGAGGCTGGAAAAGTGTTCCCCAAAATAACACTGAGGATAGAGGCTCTATTCCAGTAGCACTACTAAAGTCTAATCAGTTTTAGAAACAAACTAATCATGATGCTTCTGGCAGAATCTTGACTTTCCATGAAAATAATGTAAATCCAGTGTAAGTGATCTGTTTTTAAGTTTTGGCTAAAGAAATTTAAGAATTAAGGGGAATATTAAATACCATATGGCCCAACTACTTAGGAACCCCTTGACAAGATTCCCAGCATATGGTAGTCCAACTTCTGTCTTCATTCCTCCAGCCAGAGAACTCAGTGCTCTAAAACAGACCATTTCATTGCTGGCTAATTCTAAAAAAATTTTAAAGTTGTTTTCCCATCTTAAACTGGACGCAGCATACCTATAATTTAACCAAACAAAGACATGCCATGTGGCATGCCACTGGGGAGTCCCATACATACATAGTTGGACATCAAAATCAGGAATCTTTTTTGATGTTTACATGTCTAACTTGTCTCCCTCTGTAATTTTGATTCAGCTGTGGTATATTCATTAGCCTCACATGCATGTGAGAGATGGATGATGAATAAGGAAGACCACAAAAGAATTGATAAATTTTCACTTCCGGTAAGATGGAGGAATAGGCAGACAAGCGACACAGACCCTCATCAACAAAGAAAAGAAAAACCAATTGACAGAGATACAGAAAATAATCCTAGAACCCTGAGCTTTGAAAGGAACTATACAGAAATGGATTAGGCACCAACTAGTGGAAAAACTGAACGAAAACAGTGAGTACAGAGACGGTCAGAGCTGCAGAGTATCAGCTACTCTGACGAGACCAACAGCCTGAATATTTCCAAGTGGTGTTGACCTGAAAATTGACCTAAAGATTAGTCCTGGTCACCAAGGGCTGCAGGCACAACTGCTCTGGTGGCCTATGACTAGGAAGGGAAACAGCAAGGAGGGAGACAACCTGAGCTGTGGACTTCCTGCTGTCTGGAGGGTGCAGCCATTTTGGATATTTAAAATGATCGAGGGCACAGCCATTTTGAATGTTTACAAGCAGCAGCCATTTTAGATATTTAAAGTGACCAAGGGCGTAGCCATTTTGAATGTTTACAAGTGGCAACCATTTTGGATTTTAAAGTGATAGCATTCTCATTCAGATTCCAGGGATCTAAGAACAGGCTCTGTTTGCCAGGGTCAGCAAGGACATACAAGAGGCTGACAAAGAAAAGGAGACAGGTGGTGAGTGTATAAGTGCTGTCAACTAGTGAATAGAGCAGCACAGCACAGTACCTTGCCTGTATAGATAACACACAAACAAAACAAAATGGAAATTGTAGGAAAGTCACTCCAATATATAATCACCAATTAAATATAAACACAGAAATGTCACAATGCCTCAGAGACAACAGAGCATCACAGTCCACACAAAGAAGCAAGACAAAGCAGAGAAACAAGGGACCAGGATACAGACCCAAAATACATCCCTGAGGAAGAAGCAGCATTGGAGTTCCCTGATAAGGAATTCAAAAGAATTATATTCAGGTATTTTCAAAGGATTGAGAGACAAACCAAGGAGAAAACAGAAAAAAACCCTAGAAGAATTTTGGAAGAAAATACAAGAACAAAATGACAAAATAAATGAAAAATTAGAAATGATTCTAAATCTACAGATAGAAATCCAGA